ACATCTCAGATAACAGACCCTAATCTCCAGGGCAGTCTGGTCCTGCAGCCCTGAGTGCACTCCCCACACTCCCTCTGCAGATCCTACCTGGAGGGCTGGGAGGAGAGGACAGCATGGGGGGCTCAGCTCCAGGGGACATGGGCCAGCCCTCCTATGTCCCCAGTCCTTCTGAGTCTACAAAGAGATTGTGACCCAGACAGGGAAGGGGTTTGTGTCTCACTTCCCCATTCTCCTGTGTCACTGTGGGATATTTACCGCTGCTGTCCGCTGAATGACAGTAATACTCAGCCTCATCCTCAGCCTGGGCCCTAGTGATGGTCAGGGCGGCTGTTCCACCTGAGCTGGAGCCAGAGAATCTGTCAGAGACCCCTGAGGCCTTTCTCCTGTCACCATAGATGAGCAGTGCAGGACTCTGGCCTGGCATCTGTTGGTACCAGTGAGCTGCATAGGTTTTTAAATCTCCTCCCTGGCAGGTGATCCTGGCTGTCTGTCCCAGGACCACAGACACCGTAGACGGCTGAGTCAGTGCAGAGGAGGCCACAGATCCTGCAAGAGAGGACAGGAGAGGTGAGCCTGAGGCTGAGGGTCTCCTTGCCAGAGGGCCCCACACCCTGCAGCACCCCCTGTGCTGAGCTGAAGGTCAGGCCAGGCTGGTCCCTGGTTGTGTGGGGCTGAGCCCTGGGGGCAGCACCTGTGCAGAGAGTGCGGCGGGGGAGCTAGAGTGGGGTCCAGGCCATGGTGGAGACACCCCAGAGCTCTGCCTCTGAGCCCACAGCTAAGGAGGGCCCCCAGGCCTCTCTTATCCTGAGGGAGGGGGGCTCCTCATGCAAGTGTGCTCCTTCCTTTGGGGGTGGCTCCCTGCTGAGCAGAGAAGGGCTGGGCTTCCAGGAGGGTGTCCATGGGCCTGTCCCCAAGGCCTGTGCCCAGGATCTCAGACTCTGGTGTTGAGGGAAAAAGTGCTCACACACACACATACACACACACATGTACCCCTCAGGCTGGGGCCTGGGCTCCTTCTCCAGGCTGGGCAAGACCCCTTCATTCCCCTCTCTGGTGAGAAGACAATCTCTGGAGTGCACTGGGCCAAGCTTGGACTGGTGCTCTTGGGGTCAGGGGTCATGCTAGAGCCGGGGAGTTTAGAGTATCATGACTGGACAAAGTATAAATAGCCATGCACCTCTGTGAGACTACTCATTACGTATTAGGAAATGAAAAAGGGGTGAACCAAACTCTTCTGGAAATTGTTAAGCATTCACATTCTTGAGCCCAAAACTACACATACACTGTGCATAATTGCTAAGATGAACCTCATAAAAATTAAACGCTTTTATAAAAATATTTTTAAGGGCCTGCCTGTGGCGTGGTGGCTAAGTCAGCTGGATCCCACAGGCCTGACTGAGCAGATCAACTCCCAGAACTGGCAGCTTCAAAAATAAGCGGGTCTCACAGTCGTGCATGCCTAACTCCTGACAGGAAGGATCGAGGGAGAAGGAACTGCAGTGTCTCTTTCTCCGTGGGATGTGTGTTCTTCATTTCTCTGTTTCTCTTTGTCTCTCATTGCAGAATGATTGCACCCACTGAAAAATTAATTTTTTTCTATGTTTCTGATTTTCCCCAAAAGACAGAGGCAGAGAGAAAGAGAAGAGAGAAATCACTCTTTGAGGAGATGGCCATGCGACAATCTCTTCTTCTCCTCTCTGGATTTGGGCATGCATACACAGGTGCCTGGCATTTCTCAAGCCAACAGATCAGGGATTCGAACCACATAGTTGGTCATGTGGAACCTAGTGCCCTAATCTCACACTCTCTGCTGGCCCTAAAAAGATTTTTTTTTAAATTGTATTTTTTTCGGGGTAAAATATGTGGTTTCGTGTGCTCGTACACAGTGAAATAACTGCTATAGTCAGTCAAATGATCATGGTCACCATCTTGAAAAATTAAGGGTC